TAATAGAAGTGGTAGTTTAATAATAGTGGTGGTAGTTTAATAATAGACGTATTAGTTTAATAATAGAAGTGGTAGTTTAATAATAGTGGTGGTAGTTTAATAATAGACGGATTAGTTTAATAATAGAGGTGGTAGCTTAATAATAGAAGTGCTAGCTTAATAATAGAGTGGTAGTTCAATAACAGAGGTGGTAGTTTAATAATAGAGGTGGTAGTTTAATAATAGACATATTAGTTTGATAATAGAGGTAGTAGTTCAATAATAGACGTATTAGTTTAATAATAGAGATGGTAGTTTAATAATAAAGGTGGTAGTTTAATGATAGAGGGGGGTAGTTTAATTATAGAGGCGGTTGTTTAATAATATATATTGTAGTTTAATAATAAAGGTGGTAGTTTAATAATAGACGTATTAGTTTAATAATACAGGTGGTAGTTCAATAATAAAAGTGGTAGATTATTAAGTCTATTATTAAACTACCACGTCTATTATTAAACTACCACTTCTATTTATTAAACTAATGCGTCTATTATTAATCTACCACATCTATTATTAAACTACCACCTCTGTTATTGAACTACCATCTCTATTATTAAGTTACCACCTCTGTTATGAAACTACCACCTCTATTATTAAACTAATACGTCTATTATTAAACTACCACGTTTATTATTAAACTACCATCTCTATTATTAAACTACTACCTCTATTATTGAACTACCGCTTCTGTTGTTAAACTAGTATGTCTATTATTAGACTACCACCTCTATTATTAAACTAGACGTATTCGTTTAATAATAGATGTGGTAGTTTAATAACAGAGATGGTAATTTCACCTACTCAAAGAGTTGTAAACAAAGAAGTGTTTCGTCGTTATTTCACGCTTTAAAAAGAGTTGTTGTTATATTAGTCAATTAATATTTAAATATGCAGCGCTGTTTGATATGGTGTAAGGTAATATTTTCAAGAAAAATTTCGACTGATTAACTTTGATATCTGTTGTTTGGTTGATTAGCTTTGAATAAATTCAATCTTTGACACTCACGGCTAGATATAACTTTAAAGAAGGTTATAGCATCTCAGAGTTTTGCTAACAACTGTAGTTATGCTTTATGTGTTTCTGTAATAGTTTTTCGATTAGAATTGTTAACGAAGAATTATGTTTCGCCACTAATTTCATGTTACAATTCGAATAGGACTTATCGGAAGCTATTTTCTATAGCTTTGTTTTATAATTTTTAATGTGTTTATGTGTATTTATAAAATAAAAAAAATATATTTGTAATCCACGATAGTAATAGTTGCTAACGCATTTAAAGTTTGAATAACATTTATTACGAAAGATACATCACGATACTTGAAGGTCATTACGTTATCGTAATGAAAAACGATTTTTAAACATAATGCTTTTATTAATTTTAAAGCGATATTTTAAAGTGGAAGCCGTACGGCTTCAATAAAGTTTTTATTGTGTAAATATAAAACTTTGTTTTTAACCATCTATTTATTTATTGTAATTTTTTAAAAAAGTAATAATTTACTCGTAGGTTACTAAAAAAAATGACTAGTTGTGAACTTACGAACCATCTTGTAGTTTCATTGTTTGTTCAAGTATTTTTTTTGTGATCGAATGTTTTAGTAAAAGGGGTATTCCAAGCTAAACTTTAACAGCAGCAACGTTCAGAAATGAGTCTGTAACTTTTGAATAAGCATTTTAACGAGTCCTTCGTTGATTGCACACTTTTACCCCCAAGTTATCAACTTCATTGGCATCAGAGGAAGTGATCATGCATAAAAGAGAAACTTTAAGGCATCCATGCAAAACATCAGTAGCCTACTATGGCGTGAAGGAACGAATCGATTGAAAGCGTTAGAGGATCGTTCCATCCAACATCTAAAGATAATTGTTATTTCATGCTCGCCTGGCTACTGACTGACTGACTCCTGTGCTAAACAGGTTGAAAATGCTGTTGACGGGCCTCTTCGTGAAATTCAATGGAACAATGATTCAAATACAATAATCAGAATTAGACCAACCAACATGGAGTAATTATGATGAACCTCAAGTCCAATAAAACGAGTTTACTTTCTCTTAGTACCATTTTATAGCAATATTATAATGTTATCTTTCTTTGTTTGGACCATTCTGGCTTATTTAACTTCTATAACTGTTGTGAAAATTCGATGGTACGTAGAACAGATATTTAACCCAAAGAGTTGTTTAATATGCATGTGTTGTAACTTGTAAAACCTTTAGCAGAAACCATACGAAGCTGTCCGATTTTTAAAGCCATGTTATTTATTTATAATTACATCTTTACAACAACATACCTAGTAAAAGCAAAATAATTGAAACTTCTCTTACCAATATAATTTATTTAACAGAAACATTAAAGTTTATGATCACCATGTTTATTTCAAAGTAACTGATAATCCTAATCCAAAGTTTGCATCCTTCATTAATTCAAGCTACACGTTAAACGCCATAAAAATGGTTCATTATGTACAGATTATTCACAACAGCAACAATATTTTTTTTCTTATGTGTTTTTCAACCAGAGGGAATGAGACCCACATACCAGCTGGTTCTTAACTATGAAGAAGAAAAAACGTCCAAGTACATTTCTCATGGAAATCAAATTATAATCTAATGTTTAAGTAATTGCATCTTAGATATAAATCAATCAATAAAATACAAATAACCATATTTTAAGATCTTTTCTGTAATTTTCATTTAATGAAAAAGTAACAACACTATTAGATGTGGAAGTTGATTACTTGATTACTGATTATATTTTCCATATGATGTATAAGTTCAAAATACTGAGCAGAAGTCTGAAATTAAATGACAACTGATCACATGAAATAAGACACTATTCCATGAAAACACACTGAACAAAAATATCCTGATTTCATAAAGACACACGAAAACGAATGAAGCCACGAAACTTACATACAGAAAAAAATCCATCTGTAAGTAAACTTGTCGTGTGCCATAAGTTTCGAAGTGAACAGAATAAATAATAAATTACCGATTACCTTATATATATAAAGTTAGGCACAGTCGATACAAGGAGAACAGCAGCAGTAATTAGAGATGTGCTCCAGAACGGGAAGAAGCGGAGAGCAGAGCCCGCCAGGTGCTCTAGGAGAATCAACATTGATTGGTCTTGTTATTATACCTGACTATCAATGACGCTAATATATATATAAATTCTAAATTGCTTTTTTGTTTTTACCTGTGAATTACTTTACACTTATCTTTATAATAAGCAACATTACCCGAATAATGTATTCTCCATTATAGTACCGTCTACGAGAAATAATATATACACGAGTTTTATTTATGAAACAAATCAATTTAAGCAATTCATTATGAGATTTCTGAAATACATTTTCCAATTATAACACAGCGAAAGACAGGCAAATGTTTTGTGATTTATTTATTCCACACGATGGAAACTTGTAATAATATAGATTTATGATAATAACGCTTACAGCAGGAATGAATTAAAGACATTATCCACGAACTCGTTTCTTTTTCTATAATAATACAACATAATAAAAACTTGTTAAACTCAGACACTTAACATCATAACTCATGCTGTGTGAAGTTCATTGTTTAAATGGGGCACGATCACATACTGATCTCTATAATAAAAACTTCGATTTTACCCATATTCAAAATTTATAAAATTTCAATTTTAAAAAGTATAGAATTTTTATTGTAATAAATAGAATGCTCCATTTATTTTAAAGAATAGGGTACTCTATTTATTGTAAGGAATATAGTACTCAATTTATTGTAATGAATAGGGCACTCTATTTATTGTAAGGAATAGGGTACTCCATACTGTAAGGAATAGGGTACTCCATATTGTAAGGAATAGGGTACTCCATACTGTAAGGAATAGGGTACTCCATATTGTAATGAATAGGGTATTCCATACTGTAAGGAATATGGTACTACATTTATCTGTAAGGAATAGGGTACTCCATATTGTAAGGAATAGGGTACTACATTTATCTGTAAAGAATAAGGTACTCCATATTGTAAGGAATATGGTGCTCCATATTGTAAGTAATATGGTACTCCATATTGTAAGGAATATGGTACTCCATATTGTAAGGAATAGGGTACTACAGTTATTTGTAAGGAAACTGTATAGAATAGGGCATTCCATTTATTGTAAGGAATAAGATACTCCATATTGTGAGGAATATGATACTCCATATTGTAAGGAATAGGGTACTACAGTTATCTGTAAGAAAATTGTACGGAATTGGGTACTCCATATTGTAAGGAATAGTGTACTACATATTGTAAGGAATTGGGTACTCCATACTGTAAGGAATAGGTACTCCATATTGTAAGGAATAGCATACTCCATATTGTAAGGAATAAGGTACTCCATTTATTGTACGAAATAGGGTACACCATTTGTTGTAAGGAATAGGACACTCCATTTGTTGTAAGGAATAGGGTATTCTATTTGTTGAAAGGAACAGGGTATTCCATATGTTAAGGAATAGGGTACTCCATATGTTAAGTAATAGGGTACTCCATTTGTTGTAAGGAATAGGGTACTCCATTTATGCTTTATTGGCAAACAGAGCCACATCTCCTTCAGCATTAGAAACGTTCTAGGGAGATCAGTTATGAAGTATTTAATATTTCCATAATAATTGTTAACCATAACTTAAAATTATTTGTCTTTCAGCTAAACTTAATATGCTTGACCTATATGCTAACATATTTCCTTTTTTACAACCACAATATTACGCACTAAGCCTTATAATATATATAACTTTTATTATATATATATATATAGCGGTTTTATGTCCATCTGAAGCTTTGTTTTTAATTAAAGTTTAAAACAAATTTAAAGGCCATATATATCTATCTTTATTTCAACATATATAAAATACTTACCTGGATAGTAAGATAATATTTTTTCTCTACGAAAGTCCGTGCCTGGAATAAATAGTACGCACTGTAATTCCGAGGGGCCGCCACTGGGCAATTCTTTGTCCAACAACTCTCTGTAACTCATGACACTGTAAGTTCCTTTACTGAAGATAGTCTTATTGTGTAGCGGGATTGATTTTGCACTTTTCAAGTTTGGGTTGGTTAAAAGCAGAGATATCTGAGGCTCTGGAAAAATTCCTTCTACTACACAAGTAAAATTCGACGATTCTCTATCCGTTTTGGTGTAGTTGAAGTTAAAACTCCTAGGTGGAGCTGTGTCAAAGAGATGAAAAAATTATATAATAATGAGCAAAAGATGTGGTTGAAAGTTATATTGGCCCACTCTGCTCTGTATGTAACTATAAAACATCCTCATGACTATTATGTAAAGCAGATTTCAAGCACAGGCTAGGGTTGTTCTCACACTAACTAATGATCGTCCTTACTACAATATATTACTCTGCAGTAGCCTTTTAAATACCATTAGTTTAATGGCGCTAAACACACTTTATCACTTGGAGATCATTCGGAGAAAGATAAACACCTCGGACATTAAAATAAATTACACCTTTTTTAAAGTGTGTAAATAAAGGTTATTGTTTTATTTGTGTTGAATTATATCTTCATTTTAAAGAGCGCAAATAAAGGCCATTGTTTTATTTGCGTTGATTTAATCTTCATTTTAAAGTGGGCAAATATAGGCTGTTGTTTTATTTATGTTAAATTAAATCTTCATTTTAAAGTGTGCAAATATAGGCTATTGTTTTATTTATGTTAAATTAAATCTTCATTTTAAAGTGTGCAAATATAGGCTGTTGTTTTATTTATGTTAAATTAAATCTTCATTTTAAAGTGTGCAAATATAGGCTATTGTTTTATTTGTATTAAATTCAATCTTCATTTTAAAGTGTGCAAATAAAAGTTATTGTTTAATTTGTGTTAAATTCAATCTTCATTTTAAAGTGTGCAAGTAAAAGTTATTGTTTAATTGGTGTTAGATTAAATCTTCAAAACAAAGATTTCAAAGATATTTCTCATCTTGCACGCAAAAGATTTTTTGTGGGGAGGGAACGTTATAGCTTTGTAATTATTTCACAAATTAGAACCTTATAATCGTTTTATTATTTAAAATTAGAATCTCAAACTACTACAATGGTTACGTTTTAAAAGCTAATAATTATATCACAATTTGAGAGATGCTTTTCGTGATTAAAAAGAATTCATGAATTAGTCACGCATAAGGCTCGTAGATTTAGCTACACATATGATTCGTAGATTTAGCTACACATATGATTCGTAGAACTAGCTACACATGTGATTCGTAGAACTAGCTACACATGTGATTCGTAGAACTAGCTACACATGTGATTCGTAGAATTAGCTACACATGTGATTCGTAGATCTAGCTACACATGTGATTCGTAAAACTAGCTACACATATGATTCGTAGAAGTAGCTACACACATAATTCGTAAAATTAACTACACATGTGATTCGTAGATCTAGCTACATACGTGATTCGTACAACTAACTACACACGTGATTCGAAGAACTAACTACACATGTGATTCGTAGATCTAGCTACACATGTGATTCGTAGATCTAGCTACACACATAATTCGTAGAATTAGCTACACATGTGATTCGTAGAACTAGCTACACACATAATTCGTAGAATTAGCTACACATGTGATTCGTAGATCTAGCTACACATGTGATTCGTAAAACTAGCTACACATATGATTCGTAGAACTAGCTACACATATGATTCGTAGAACTAGCTACACACATAATTCGTCGAATTAGCTATACATGTGATTCGTAGATCTAGCTACATACGTGATTCTTAGAACTAGCTACACACGTGATTTGTAGAACTAGCTACACACATAATTCGTAGAATTAGCTACACATGTGATTCGTACAACTAACTACACAAGTGATTCGTAGAACTAGCTACACATGTGATTCGTAGAACTAGCTACACATACTATTCGTATAACTAGCTACACATGTGATTCGAAGAACTACCTACACATGTGATTCGTAGAACTAATTACACACGTGATTCGTATAACTAGCTACACACGTGATTCCTAGAACTAGCTACACATGTGATTCGTAGAACTGGCTACACACGTGATTCTTAGAACTAGTTACACATGTGATTCGCGTGACAGTCTACAATACTATCATTAGTTATTGAGTTGTGATTTTGGATGTTGCGATGTCGACTTTTATTTGTTATATAAAGATGGTGAACGTATTATTCCAGCATTTTGAGTTTAAGTTGATTGTTGAATTTTCGAGAGAAGTCTGCTTTTGAGGAAAAACGTCCGTGACACAAAGCATTGCTTCTTTCATGTACTATATTGGTTACTAGCTGGAGTGTCCGTCCGTTGAACGGGTGAAATGAAAAGTCGTTTGTAACAACGGATAAGAAATTGACTTCAATTTTTCTTAACGTAATATAGATTAAAAGTGCAATAAAAATACATAAAGATACCAATACCGAAATATGAAACTAGATGATGGTCCAACCCCTCTCATGTCATCCTGTATCACTGTGTCAAGTTTGGTGCTGATTGATCAAGAAATGTGGAAACGTATAAGGAACAGATACACACACACATATTGACGTTTATTTATATATGTTGAGTTTGAGTTATTAATATTTTAAAATATGTTTTTTACATTTTACACAGATACACACACATTGACGTTTATTTATATATATTGAGTTTGAGTTATTCTTAGTTTAAAATATGCTGTTTTTAAATTTTACACAGATACACACACATTGACGTTTATTTATATATATTGAGTTTGAGTTATTCTTAGTTTAAAATATGCTGTTTTTAAATTTTACACAGATACACACACACTGACGTTTATTTATATAGATTGAGTTTGAGTTATTCATATTTTAAAATATACGTTTTTTTAATTTTACGCATATGCACACGTACACACAGACACACATAAATATTGACGTTTATTAATATAAATTGAGTTTGACTTATTCTTAGTTTAAAATATACTGTTCTTAATTTTTACGTTAGTTATGATTTTACAGATGGTAGATTTCAGAGACAAATCTGATCACTTATTGTAAGAAAACTTACATTTAGATGTGATAATTTTTGAAATACATAAAAATGTTTTTTTCCAAGATTTTTTTTTATATTATGATATATCAAACATACATAAAAGACAGTGATTTTTTTCTTCAGTATATACTTTGTTATATCATTTAGAATGTCGTTATACTAGTAAAATGGTTTTGAGTATCTGTTTTATCTGGAGTGATGATATACTTAATAGTGATCAGTAAACAGTTAAGTATAGTTGAATTATGTAGCATGTGTTTCTTGTTAGATGCGAATGATTCATCAATCCGTCTAGCACAAGAAACATGATTATATAAATAAACGTCAATATGTGTGTGTATCTATATAAATAAACGTCAATATGTGTGTGTATCTATATAAATAAACGGCAATATGTGTATGTATCTATATAAATAAACGTCAATATGTGTGTGTATCTATATAAATAAACGGCAATATGTGTATGTATCTATATAAATAAACGTCAATATATGTGTGTGTGTATCTATATAAATAAACGTCAATATGTGTGTGTATCTATATAAATAAACGTCAATATGTGTGTATCTATATACATAAACGTCAATATGTGTATGTATTTATATAAATAAACGTCAATAATACACATATTGACGTTTATGTATATAGATACACACACATATTGACGTTTATTTATATAGATACACACATATTGACGTTTATTTATATAGATAGACACACACATTGACGTTTATTTATATAAATACATACACAGTATTTATATAAATAAACGTCAATATGTGTATGTATCTATATAAATAAACGTCAATATGTGTATGTATCTGTTCCTTGTATCTTTCCACATTTATTGATCAATCAGTTCCAAACTTGACACAATGATATAGGCTGACATAAGGAAGGTCGTGAAGAGGTGAGGGGTTAGACCCCCAGCTGATTTCGGAAAAACCAAATCAGCACAACTTGAAACAGCGATACAGTATGACGTGAGAGGTGTTGGACCCCCATCTAATTTTATATTGATAGAGTTCCCGAAAACAGTACGTCTTTCTTTTCAGTATTGGTACCTTTATGTATTTTTAGTGCACTTTTAATGTAAATTATGTTAAGAATTATATATATATAGAAGCACAATTTCGAATCCTTTGTTACAAGCGGGTTATTATTTCACCCGTTCAACGGACGGATAGTCCAGTTAGTATGTAATAAAAGACTTCCTATGATACCTGCTTGTATAGGAGTGTGCGATGTTACTTACTGTCCAAAACAGTAATCTTATTTAGTCAATTAAATCACTGAACCACTTAAAACATTTAATATGCTCAAGGTTTACTGTCAAAGGACTACTGACTTAATAAAAATGTTTATACAAATCTAACCTAAGCATAGACAAATTTCATCATGGCGTTTAATCCATTAAATATCTCTGAAAAATATTTTGATTTCAAACGACCACAGATGATACAATGGTTTGATAATGTTAGGTATAACAGATAAGATTAGGTATGCTAAAAAATATACACGGTTACGTCTTCTTCTTTGTTTTGTATTTGTAGAATATTCTCGACACGCGATCCGAAAATTGAATTCAGTTTCAAAGTTTGGGATATGTTATTATAATTAAATACATGTTCGAATTGTTTTTTTTTATATTAGCATTCCCTATTCATCATCACTTGATGTATATGTATTTTATGTATACAAAAGCAGCACTGTATATGATTTAACATCGACATGAAACTTTTGAAACTTGTAGCAGATTTAACATCGACATGAAACTTGTAGGAGATTTAACATCGACATGAAACTTTTGAAACTTGTAGCATACTAATGGAAATGAAACTTTACTGAAACACCCGTACAAGTACCTAGCTCTGATATAAAGGATTTTTAAAGCAGGGTATTCAACATGTGGGCTGTATATTTGTGTCTCTGTTTTGTTTTGGTCATCAGGTCTGGTGGGCTTAGAACTTATAATAAAACCCAAAACGTCCAAAAACAAAACAAACAAACAAAGCACTTGTGGTTAAACTGTTTGAATGCCCAGAAGGTTTGTTTTCTTTTGAGAAATATTTATTACAATTAAACTAAATCAAATAACTTATTGTGTTTTTTAACAGATGATGATACGAGATTATATTATCTATATCTGAGAAAAAAGGGCGTTGTTCTGTAACTAGGAGTTATTTCTATTTACATGGGTGTGCTAACTCTGTATAATTGTTTAACTATAACCTCTGTTGTATTTTATTTGCATCACAGTTGTTTCATAACTCTTGTTGCATCAATTACTATTACTTTTATATAATCGACCGGTATTAACTATAACCTCTGTTGTATTTTATTAGCATCACAGTTGTTTCATAACTCTTGTTGCATCAATTACTATTACTTTTATATAATCGACCGCATGACAAATTTAAATTTCAATTTTTTGTCACACATCGTCGATCATGATGCTATACAAGTCTAGGCGGTATGGTTCATGGTGATTTTGTTTCATATTACACCTAGTGATACAGGAAAATAGTAATTGATGCAACAAGAGTTATGAAACAACTGTGATGCAATAAAATACAACAGAGGTTATAGTTAATACCGGTCGATTATATTATATTATTCTGTAATATCACAGGACATATTCTGCTACAACCCTGATCGTTTTTACTTATGTTTTATAAACTTGCTTGTCCTATTATAATAGATTTATTCCTATATGTATAGAATGATGTGACCGGTATATTAATGGCTATCATACATTAAAAACGTGCTAATCACACTGTGAGGTTTGTTCTTAAAAATAGTATTCCATTAGAGATCTAATTAAGTCAACAAAACCACTCGGGGTTCGTAATGATCTAACCATAAATCGTCATCTGGCGTTCCTCCGAGTCTTCGCTAGCTAATGAGGCGACGTTACAGGTGTATTTCCCGCTCAGGTCTGTTGTTGGTCGCAGGATGTTGAGTGCACGGTACCTGGTCAGGTTGGCGGACGGAGTTACTGTATAGCTCATGTTAATTCGACCCTGAAGCCGGTAAGAGGGCTGGCGGAGGTTTAGCTCTGTGATCCACTGGTAGATTGGCTCAGGATCGTCATTTAGAAACCATTTCACGACTAAGTTTTTGTCGTCATTTCCATAGTCGTATCTACAATCTAAGATAACCGACTCTTTTGTCCCATTTTCTATATAGTGGGGTATGGAGACTTCGGTTATTTTCAGGCCGACTGCAACAACAAGATTACACAATTATAATCATTAATAAAAGAAACAATACATGAAACTCATAACGAATCGTGTAGGCCTAATTCTCATTATCCATTTACGTCTAGTTGTATTACTACAATAAAAATATTTCAGAATATTATTCATATCTCATAATATTAAATAGCTAGTAGTAATTATGGGGAGAAGCATAATTATTTTTAGTTATCTTTATGTATCGGATAACACTAATAATGATAATTAATCATAGTAACATCCAAGCTCATTTGGAATTACAGCACTGTATTTTGAAGAAAACATGTCTTAACCCTAGATATAATGGTGATTTATGTACATAGCTACTGATGCTACAACTGTTGGTATTAATGCACATGAAACTGAATGTAATAGCTATACGTGACGATAACACAAATTGAACGATTCAGATAGTAAAGTTGAATAATGTTATCGTATCGCTGTTTTAATAATATTATCGTCGAATGGTATCAGATCTTACAGGTTTTAGGTTTACCAATTTTGTTGTATATTTTAACGCTGGTGAACTGAAAAAAAATCAGTATTCCAAAAGAACACAATTTATATAATTTAAAATTGAATAAAATAGTAAAAAATTTATTATTTTTTTTGCAATAAAATCTCGTTTTATGAATTGTTTCTACCAAAATAGTACTTCCAATAAATCTAAAATGTTTATTAGGGAAAAAAAAAAGGACAAAAACAAAACAAAAACAGTATCTCATCAAATGAACAAGTGATTTCAAACTAATCTCAAACAAACTAATGCCAAATCAAATCTGATCGCATTTTCCAAGCACTTAAAGAGACTACATGTGTATTCTTTGAAATCGAGCTTGGATTGGAAGAGAAGTTAATATGAAGGAGAAATATAACATGCCGGGGTTTTTTTACTGCCGGGGGTGTTTTTACTGACTGAAACGAAGAAGAATGGCGAACCATAAAGAATAGGTTACTCCATATTGTAAGGAATAAGGTTCTCCATATTGTAAAGAATATGTTACTCCATATTGTAAGGAATATGGTACTTTGTATTGTTAGGAATAGGATACTCCATATTGTAAGGAATAGAGTACTCCATATTGTAAAGAATATGGTACTCCGTATTATAAGGAATAGGGTATTCCATATTGTAAGGAATATGGTACTCCGTATTGTAAGGAATATGGTACTCCATACTGTAAAGAATATTGTACTCCATATTGTAAGGAATGGGGTACTCCATATTGTAAGCAATATGGTACTCCGTATTGTAAGGAATAGGGTATTCCGTATTGTAAGGAATAGGGTACTCCGTATTCTAAGGAATGTGGTACTCCATATTGTAAGGAATATGGTACTCCGTATTGTAAGGAATAGGGTACTCCATATTGTAAAGAATAAAGTACTTCGTACTGTAAGGAATAGGATACTCCGTATTGTAAAGAATAGGGTACTCCGTATTGTAAGGAATAGGGTACTCCATATTGTAAAGAATAGGGTACTCCATATTGTAAAGAATAGGGTACTCCGTATTGTAAGGTATATGGTACTCCGTATTGTAAATAATAGGGTACTCCGTATTGTAAAGAATAGGGTACTAAATATTGTAAAAAATAGGGTACTCCGTATTGTAAGGAATAGGGTATTCCATATTGTAAGGTATATGGTACTCCGTATTGTAAGGAATATGGTACTCCGTATTGTAAGGAATATGGTACTCCATATTGTAAAGAATATTGTACTCCGTATTGTAAGGAATGGGGTACTCCATATTGTAAGCAATATGGTACTCCGTATTGTAAGGAATAGGGTATTCCATATTGTAAGGTATATGGTACTCCGTATTGTAAGGAATATGGTACTCCGTATTGTAAAGAATAGGGTACTCCGTATTGTAATGAATAGCGTACTCCGTATTGTAAGGAATATGGTACTCCGTATTATAAGGAATAG